ATGTAAATTAAATCTATTGATTGTAAAGATGAAGTTATTAAATCAATCAAATCTTATCCATAGTAGTTTCTGTTTGGTGACCGTTTTTTATTATACCGCTTTTAAGTTGATAGTTATAAGTTGTAACATTAATTTATTATATTTAAAATACATACTTTATAGTTAACCACAATATTACTTTTTTACTTAAAGAGGTCGTTTAAGATTTATGATAATTTGTTTTAATGTGAAATTACATATAAATTATATATCGAATTACTTTGTTCCTTAATAATTAGATTTCATAATCATTACTTTAAGTCAATTTATAACAATAATTCGTATTTTCAATTTGTATGAAAACGTTTATCCACATAAATGAAACTGAAATAGTAAAATAAAAACACTTTTTTTTTAATGAATTAACCCAATAATACAAAATTTGATGTTAATTAAATTGCGCAACAAAATTAAACCTATCAGTTTGAAATATTAGTCGCATATTATAAGCACCATTTTGTTTAAATTGTTGTCATGATCATTCTTTTCAATAATTCCAATTTACAACTTCAAAAAGCTGTCAATATGAGCAATGTGTAACAAAAATTGAACTGTACACATTTGATTGGATTCAATGATTAATGAAGAAAAACAATCTTTAGGAATGTTATCAGTCCTCTCCACTTAATAGGTGCAACATATGACCAAGAGAAAAGTTTAATGAAGCTTCAATCCTCTCTTTAGTAATTAGCAATATGATCACTCTCAATTTCGATGAGCATATGTTGACCAAAAATTCCATCATGAGTTTGCTACGAGTTGATAAAATCCTTAGTTGTTGACACAGAGTCACAAACAATGCCCGAAACTAATTATCAAGAGGTTAAACAAACAAAGTAAATGAGAAAATATCTTTGATTAGAAAGATCTGTTCCGCAGAACATTAGGTAAATCTCATGATTATGCCACCTGAATATAATAGTAAACACAATATATTTAGTCATTTAAATACCGAAATACCTTTATTATATATATTGAGATAAAAAAAACAAAAAATGATTACAATTGATAATTTCAAGCTTATACAGTACATATTTAAAACTCACATTGAAGTTATCATCCCAAGGAATAATACACTAAAAGATTAATGCCTTCGATCTATCGATATCTTTTACTAAATGCACCTCCAAGACTCGTTTAGGAGCTTCATCAACTCATCCCTTCCATTGAAACTCGTTGAAGCATAGATCAAACATACTTTATTAGAAAATAACACTAAATTATCTTTTTTTTATAAAACACGTCCATCTACTGGTTTTCTTTAGAATCGATAACTTAGTGGTTCTAGCTTAATGGATCGTGATATTCAACCATGAAAATGTTTCAAGGTTGATAAAGACAGCCACACTTGTTAGTGCAAATCTCATCATCCATCTATCTAAATTAAATTAAAATTATCACCATATATGTGATAACGAATGAGAATGTTTTCTAATATATATTATATGTTATTGTGTAGGTACATATGCAAATGAAAGTAATCATAAGCCTTACCAAAGAAATAGCATCAGACAAAGATTTAAAAGTTTGAAAAATTGAACTACATCTTTCATGTCATATATGGTGGATCTATAGCTTCAATGGAATGTAAATTCCAAATTAGGCCTAACGTTTCTGTCTTTTTTTGTCTGAAGTGACATGCTGTTGATATCTCCTTGAAACTCCTTACGATGGTGTATTGTATGTGGTCTAGATAGTGGGTGTGGACCCCATGTTTCTGAATTAATCCCTTTATTTCCTTGTCAATAATTGTTGTATGATATGTAAAAACTTATATAATTCACATAATAAGGAGAAGGGATTCTGAACTATGATGCGTACAAACAAAAAAAATCACAAAGAGATGGGGTAGGTAGGTCTATTACCTGGAGGAGAAAACGAAGATGATGGTGTGATTCCCAAATTTGCTCACAACATCTGGTCAACCAACAATAACCCTAAAAAAAGGCCCAAACTCCAACATAATCAAAATCCCCTAAAACGGAAACATCAAACATCATATTTGTCAAGAAGCTTAGAAAATTGATTCAACAAAAACTTCTGACCATTACTTCATCCTTCAAAAATGGATCTATCAGTGAAATACCTTTTTATAGTGCACCCTTCAAACAAATGCCATCGGAACAAAATAGAAATAGAAGAACAAACGAAGATCCTTTAGACAATGAAACTACTTCTTATAACTAAAACCGATAGATGGAGGTGGTTGTTGGGGGATACCACATACAGTAAGCAGATACAACCATCATAACCTTGATTATCATCTTCCCCATTTTCTAAGTCTCCCTAATCGATTTCTTCATTGTGTGATTTGGATCGTGCCTGAATATCAAAAAAAAAATATAGATTAGAAAATTGAAAATGAATGTAAGAACAAAAAATACACACCAAAATAAACTGTAAAATCTGATTGATTATTCTTCTTCACTTGATGTTTCCTATTTCAATGTCACAAATCTGGAATAGATCATTAGAAACAGTAGTTAGAGCCTTTGTGGGAGGTTGAAGGCAAAAGGGGGCGGAAGGAATAAGGTTTCCGAGAAGGGTGAAAAGAAGGGCGGCGTGGATGGCGGCGAATGCAAGCATGGGTGCAACCATGTATAAATGGGAAAATTTTAATATTTGTGTCGACAAAGAGGAAAGTAAGTGTAATAGGAGCGAGATAATGGGTGATTAGGTCCAAGATTGGTGGGTGATATACGAGTTACCATTTAAATTATCCTGTGTTTTCTGGATGCGTTTTATGATGGTATTTGATGCATTATTAGTTGTACCTCTTAAAATTTTCAAGAAACATTCAATATGCTTTATATAATAGTAAAGATATATATATATATATATATATATATATATATATATATATATATATATACTGGGAATAGTAAATATACGCTTAAGGGTATATAACCTTGTGTACCCGATCCTCAAAACTACGTAGTTTTGTACAATGGTATGAATATCTGAGAAAAAAATAGAATTTTTGAAGGTTCTTTATTCACTAATAACTCCAATTCAATCGACGAATTCCAAGTCAATCAACGAGTATTGTGCCTTCATTTTCGACCAAAAACGAAGCATACTACCGAACCAATGATTAATTAATTCAATCTTGATTTTACACTGATTAGTCCTTGGCCATATCGATTTTACTCAATGCTAAATGATTATACGATGCTGCTCACCCCTCTGCCCACCTGACGAATCATACTCAACGAGATTGGGTGATAAAACCTCTTCCTTAATAATCAGATGTGAATTGGAATCAAGGTATCGAAGCTATCCACCAGTTGTTGTTGTTTGCTTGTTGTTTCTGACCTATCCGATTGTGTAGGTCACTCAGGTATGGTACTTTAGTCGATTATATGGGCTAGTAGGGGAAGAAGATAAGTTGTGCACATAAGGTGCTCGATGAAATGCCTAAGAGAAACTCAATTGCAAGGAATCCCATACACGATGGTGTAATCAGGGTAATGTACAAATGGTGTCATGTGTAGTTTGTTCAGTTAACTAAGTTTGACTATAGGCTTACTAGTGACCTTAATGAAGAGCCACAAAGATTAAGGTGTCGAGTCAATTATCATGCTTTTCTCTTTACAAAACCATTGCAAGATCTTGGTGATCATCTGGTGATGAAATTGAGGAATATGAGACATCGTCTGAAAGAGAGAACATGGATGTGGGGATTTCAATGAATACCCTTCCAACTTCCATATGCAAGACCAACAACACATTTAATTATTATCATCATCATCTCAACAACACAAAAAAAGATATAACAGAATCTGTATCTGAAGGTGTTATTAGTAATACCACTACTACACATAGATATAATGATGTATCACTAGAAGAGAAAGAATATGTGATTTTTGGGCTAAGGACTAGTGTTGAATGTTAGTGTAAACCATTGTATTTGACCGATTTGTTTTCATAACAACCATTCTTATGAAAATTCCAAAACAAGAGTCTAAGAAATGTAAATCGTCTTAACATTTTTGGTTATATAGTGAACTTATGTTTTATGTCTTTAGAATAATGGGTTGTTAGCTATTTGTTGTCATTTCAAGTCACTTTACTCATTGTGTATTTATATATGAGATTTTTTGTGAACTCAAACATATATGAATGGTATGTGTTTATTGATCATAATAAATGGTATTCCCCGGGCTCAACAAGTGTTATGGATCGAAATAACCTATTTAGGTATGTTTTGACAAAAAGTATATAAACCATGTATTCTGCAATGATGTCCATGTCCATGATTCTAGTTAGTGTTATGTTAATCTACACATAAGTTTAATGGTTTTTCACCTTGTAGGACGATTTTTCCCTTGTCCAATTTAGATGATTAACGGCCTAATATCTTTTGGTATAAAATGAATATAAATGCATTTTCATTTCTTTACAAGGTATATAAACTAAACTCATAAAAGGCAAAAATTAAATAACTAAAATAGCCAGAAATCAAGACTTGAGATAGAAAATTACAAGTGATGTTTGAATTATGTTAGGGTTGTCAAATCGGGAAGTCGTGCCGTGTTTGTGTCTGCACAACATGACACAATGTTGTGTTTTTTTAACTGACATGAAAACGAACCAACTAAAACACGACAACACGACACGACACGGAAAAAATAATATTACATAACTACTAGTTTATTTAATTCATACTTAATCATATATAACACGAAAAAAAAACAATAAACACGAAAAACACAACAAACCCATACTCAATCATGCTAATTTCGTGTGGATTTGTATACACGAACACAACACGACACGATATTGTGGTTTTATAACTTGACACGAACACAACATGAACACAAATTAAATTTTGATTTTGTCCCGTTTTCGTTTCGTGCCGTGTATTTTTGTTCATGTCGTGTCATAAATTGACACCCCATATGTTCACGTTATATCTTTTGATACAATTAAAAAGACCATCTCTAAAAACAATTATCTTTCTAATGAGAATCACACTTCCTATTCCCATTCTGATTCTCTTTTCTCACTGATTCCATTCCAACATTCTTAAAAGCTTTCTGCAATTCCTGAATCTGCTCCAATGCTTTATCTAACTCATCAACACTCGGTCTATGTTTGGGTTCTTTCATCAAACACTTCATTGCCAGAATGGTTGTCTGTGTGGCAACAGAAGACGCATATGTCCCTTCGATATAACATAAAATCAATGAAGAATCACATTAATAGTCTAATACATGTTCCATCAGTTTCAGGGACCTTCCTCTAGTCCACAACTTCCATGCATGTAACATACACACATATTAATCATGTCTAACTTCTACTAATTAGAATGTAAAACTATGCCACCAAAGTTATACTTCATTATGAATAATAGATTTAATTACTTACATACCTAGAAGGTTCAAGTTATGGTTAGGATGCTGAAATCCAAAATTCTTTTTCCCACTTATTATCTCCAAATCCAACACACCAAAGTTGTGAACATTAGACTTGGTAGAAAAATAACCATTCATTATGTATTATGGAGACATAACCACTGCTTGTATATACATAAGAAAGTAGTTTATACTCAATACACATAAAGTTGTGTTTTTTCAAAAAAAAAAAAAGGAGTTGGATAGAAATCTTTTACACATATATACATACTATGTTCCAATTACTCGGTTTGTCATTTCCCTTTTATCACTTAGAAGAATTCTTGCCAATCCAAAGTAAAAAAAAAAAAAAAAAAAAACTTCGGGTTCGTATCTCTATCAAGCAGAATATTATTTGCTTTTAGGTCATGATGAATTATTTTTAGCCTAGACTCATCATGGAGATACATAAGCTTTCTTTCTACTCCCTTGATAATCTTGAAACGATCTTCCCACATCAGGAGTCTTTTCTTGACTTGATCTAACACATTTTCATATATAAATAACAAAACTAAAATAGTACCATGCATAAAACATGAATTCTATGATAGTAATTTATCAAAATTATATGATATAGGTCGTGGTTTGGTAGGTATTCATATACTAGTATTCTTTCATCTCCTTCAATTCAATATCCTAAGAGCTTCGCAAGATTCCGATGTTGGAGAAACTCAAGGGAGTCAGTCTTATTGCAACAATAACATCTTACCCTTTTCAAGAAATATTAATAGAAGAGTTCACTGGGGAATTTAATACAACACTTGGAGGGTAGTTATAGAACTACTCAGTAATTTAGCCTACAATTGCTTGTGGTGATGTTCATTCCATATTACACATCAGACCTAAGTTACTCTAGACACAATGTACAAGGGAAGGAAGAAAAGAATATGACATTGGTTTATTTCGAATTAAGAGTGCAATTACGAACCTGGTTGGATAAGCCATGGGCGTGAAGTCAGGTGGATGGAAAACTAATTGGAACGATGGCCAACTATGACTCCTTAAACCTGAGAAGTAAATCGAAAACATATATGTTAACATATATGACTACCTGATGGACGACCGAATTGCACATTGTTGACTCAAATCCCCTAAAATCACCTCCAACAAATTCTTTTGACGATTTTTTCTAACGGAATAGGTAGTGGGTACCTAAACGTACATACCCTTAAGGGTATATTCACTTTTCCCATATATATATATATATATATATATATATATATATATATATATATATATATATATATATATATATATATATATATATATGACATCCTCAATTTCACGACTAGAAAAGACCGATTTAATTATGTTTATTTCATTTCAGAGTATCCTTTTTTATAGAACTATATTGTGAAATTTGTTCCCAGTATTGTGACAATATTATTACCAAGAATTTCCAAAGAAATGTGTTTCATATATAGCTTCAGGATGTCATCTTCAATACAGAAACATAAAAATAACGAAAATATTATAGGCCTTACAACATCTTATTATACTATGACTTATAAACTCCTTAAATCACTCAACATCCTTGGGTCTTCGTGTCGCTTCCTGTGGTACAAAGAAATTGAGTAGGTCAGGCTTGGGAGCCTGATGAGAGCATAGGGTTTTCAACGCACATTATTTAAGTTCTTTAATTATATATTTTACATCAAATAATTTACCCAATTACCCACTCCCGTTATTCTGACATATTGATCCTAAAATACTTATATCAAGGTACCTATCCTAAGGATCATCATCATCATCAATGGGTAGACCTTCTTTGCAGATTCCTATAGCAATATGTGCCAATAAGGTAACCATGGGGGATAGATTACATCAATGAACTTATAGTTGACTACACCTATAGGTTGCGAGTCTGGTAGCGTTCCACTAGAATGTCTAGAATAGTTTGTGGTCGTCATCTATACTATGCTATATGACTGGTTCATCAAAAGTCAAGTCCTATCATCATCATTTCATCATTTTCATTACCTATTACTACCCAACATATTATATATATATATATATAATATATATATATATATATATATATATATATATATATATATATGAAAATACATATATGATTAACCATGTAAAATCATATAACTTTTATAACACGGATATCATTTACTTCATATAATAGGCACACATAGCATTTAATCATCTTGATACTTTATATATATGTGTAAGTTGAATGTAACTATGCACTCACATGTTAAAGTGGACGACTGAAAAGTTGGCTAGCGCATCACTTCAACACTTGGCTTTTCCTTTGATGTAACCTAGGTTCAATTATCATTAAGTCTTAGTTTATTTCTTATGACTAATGATAATCTAGATTTCTGAACAATCCCATGTCTATATCAAGATCTATCAAGTAAGGAACAACTAGGTAGGATCATATCAGAGGTATGGTCCGTTTGGTATACAGAGTATACTGTTTGAAAATCTCATTTCAAGCACCGCACTAAATCCAACCTAGACATCATCCCCACAAGTAGATTAATCAGTAATATGACATTGGAATTACTGAAAAATCTTATTTATAAACTCATAATAATGACTATCAATTTAAATATAAATTACACTTAAAATAATACAGAGTTTAATTTAGCTTATAGAGATTCCCTAGAAAAAAAGTTTGGAAATTGCACTCGCAGAGCTCCTACTCAATGGCTACTACTTATCGGGCACTCAGGGATCGCAGGGCATTGCCAGTATATTAATTTCTTTGGGGGTCATAAGCGAAGAGTGTTGAGATTGAAATGTTGAGTGGGTGAGGAAATGCTCTAAACTCCGACCGCCTTTTATACCCAAAAAAAGTAGTTGCGCGTTATACACCTTGCCTAGGCACGCTGAACAAACGATCAGGAGGGGTTATATGGAATCGATCTACTGGTGACACGTGTCTTAATCTCATGGAATATAAGAGCGCGTCGCGCCTTGTGCCTGTGCGCATGGATGCATGCGGGTTTTTATAAAATCTTAGAAATTCCATATCTTTCTCATACGAGCTTCGTTTTTGACAAGTTTTTTTATCCATACGTAGCTAACGACGATATCTACAACTTTCATTTAGACTCCTTTAGTAAATTTTGATTTTTATTTAAAAGTAATATTTTTAACGGGCTTAAACTATTAAAGTCTGTTTAAAATTTTTAACTCTCTCGTCCGACATCTATTCTCAGTTGTCTTTATATCGACGAACTCCTATTAACGAGTTCTTCGATTCTCGTTTAGATTGTTATGACTAATAATCAACCGATCTAAAATAATATTTATGTGTTAACACAGTTACACTGAAATATTAGAAAAATCATAACTTCCTCTCCATGAAATCAAATTTATACACTCTCTATATGCATGCTCTCATTCTAAGTCCGATTTGAGCGTTTCGTACATCTCTGGACTCCTCGTTACGACCGCTATATCTTTCACCAAGGCTATTCATCCTAATTATTATTATGTTGTAGACATGTATTTTATTTCTTATTTGGTACATCGCTATAAGAACGTATATTACATATAATTGCACATAACTCACTTAATACTCAGATAATTCTCTTTATTTATTCTCATAAAAATGTTACAATTGTTGGTCATTACAAGTATATCATCTTATTAATGTCTAGCAAGAAACGCGGGTGTTACAATTCTCTCCCCTTAGGTTTATTATGTCCTCGGAATCATGCATCAACAAAAAAATGTGGGTGGCGACTCATCATGTCACTTTCTATTTCCCAGGTGAGGCTCGTCCCAGATGTATGTTTCCATCGCACAAGAACTTGTTCGACCATATTACATCGTAAGTTATTTGTCTTACGGTCAACAATTGCTTCAGGTTCTTCAATCAACCTCTTATTCTCATCAATACTTAATTCCATGAGTGGAATTAATTCGGGAACTTCTCCCGATAACTTCCTCAAATAACACACATGAAAAGTGTTATGAATGCCTTCAAGTTCTTCTAGTAATTCTAGCTTGTAAACTTGGTTTCCAATTCTTTAAAGAACTTTAAACGTTCCAATTAATCTTAGAGTTAGCTTTCCTCATTTTCCAAATCTAATAAGTCCCTTCCATGGAGATAATTTAAGCAACACTTGGTCTTCGATCTCAAACATAATGGGTTGTCGCTTTCTGTCAGCATAACTCTTCTGACAATTTTGAGCTGCTAACATCCTTTCTTTGTTCACTTTCCTTTTCTCAACGGTTTGTTGGAAAATCTCGGGACCCATAAACTATTTCTCTCTAGCTTCAATCCAGTAAGACGACGTACAACATTTATGTCCGTACAATGCATGATAAGGTGTCATCTTAATGCTCGAATGGTAACTATTATTGTACAAAAATTCTACCAACGGTAGATGCTCATCCCAATTACCGGGAAATGGCAGAGTAAAAGCACTCAACATATCTTCCAGTGTTTGAATTGTCAGTTCACTTTGACCATCAATCTATGAATGGTAGGCAGTACTCAAACACAATTGTCAAGTTATTTCAAAACCATCACTCATTGGCTACTATAAAGTGTGTACTGTTTGTGAATCGATCCACGATTACCCAAATCATGCCGTGACCACTTTTTGTTCTAGGTAATTTGGTCACAAAATCCATGGTGATGTCTTCTAATTTACCCATGAGTAGATGTAAATGTTCCAAACTCCCATATGGTTTCTAATGTTGCACCTTAACTCTCGTGCAGGTCACATATTCAGCCACATACTTTGCAACGTCAAACTTCATTATTGGCCACCAGTAATAAGGTTTCAAATACCTATACATCTTGGTACTGCCGGGATGAATCGAGTACATGGTCTTGTGAGTTTCTTCCTTGAGAAGTTATCTCATTCCTCCCATTTTGGTTACCCAAATCCTATTTTGGAATACCTTTAATCCATGATTGTTCGTACCAAACACTAAAGTTTTTCCTAAGCATTCCTATTTTCGGTTGTCTACCTCCAAAGTTTGCTCCTGAGCTTTCTTGATACTTTCTACAATTGCTGAGACAATTTCAATTATGAATGCTCTTGGCCTTTTCCTTTCCAGGTTCACCTTTCAACTCAGAGCATCAGCTACAACATTCGCTTTACAAGGGTGGTAACATATCT